AAACTGCAGATACACTCCAAGAAGCAATAGCGTAATCCAAATACATTCCCAAAGTCACAGAAAGCCAAATCAGGTAGTCAGCCGGTCCAAGAATCACAAACTATTATTTTGAACTGTTGTTTTCAACAGAGATTGAAGGCAACTGGCTGCACTTACTCAGGCCTCATCCTTTGCTTAGTGAGAAGCTTCATTGACTGGCATTGCTCTGCTCACTGCTGCATGCATCCAGATTTGGGGCTTGGAGGATGTGCCTAATCATCCAACTGCTCCAGCTGATCAGAAAATGCCTGTGATTGCTCAGCCTCTTCAGATGAATCGTGGCTTGAAGATTCCTAAGTCTGACAATCCACAGTCTCAGCTGGAGCAACATTGTCAATGTCCAAATCAGAATTCTGACCCATGACAGAAGTGGTTTCTCCTGCAAGCCATTCTCAGACATCTCAACTCTGGTTAGAATGGATAGTCTTTTCTGGTACCATGATGCCAACCCATGTAAGGATTAAAAGCTAAAAATATCACTTTCAATTGAAGCTGGAAGCCTATTGATAAGGCTTCCACATAAGCCTTTAAGACAGTGGTTCTCAACCTGTGGGTCGGGACCCCATTTGGGGTCGATCGACCATTTCATGGGGGTCGCCAAGCAAGGCTGTCCGCCATTTTTTTGTCCTCCATTTTTTTCCCCTTTTCCGGCGGGTGCCTTACCTCCCTTGGGCTGGGCCAGCTGGTGGTCGGCCTGCTCCGTCTCTGCCACTTGCCAGCTACGCCTCGGCCGGCGCAGGGGGCGGAACCACGCATGCGTGGCGCTCCCGGGCAGGGAAAGTCCTCGACTTACGACCGGTTGGGTAGTCCTCGACTTACGACCGGTTTAGTCCTCGGCTTACCACCGGTTTAGTCCTCGACTTACCACCGGTTTAGTCCTCGACTTACCACCGGTTGGGGGTCGCGGCATTAAAAAGGTTGAGAACCACTGCTTTAAGACAATAGCAATTAGTAACAAACGTACTGCTGCATTTTGCACCAACTGCAGTTTCTGAATGATCTTCAAAGAAGACTGAGAACACAGGGCATACGGTGATGATAAAGGAGTGAATCATGTAGTAGCCAGTTTGTGCTTAACTATGACGCAGTACATAAACATGGATGGAGGCATCCAGCTTTGTTAGGCATATTCAGTAGCTGCATGCTCTTAAGAATTCTGATTTAGCATTTTCTGTAAACATAGCCTTTTCAATTAGTAGAATTGCCAGTTAGTAGAATTGAACTTTGATGAGCTGCTATTCAGCAGTTCTAAAACAGACTTCTTTACTCACAGCCTCAACGGGAGATATGCAACAACATGAGCACTCTTCAACTGTGAATTTAAAAGATTTCCTATGTGTTACAACTCATTAAAAAATATACTAAAGATTTTATTATTCAATTATTTAGTGCATTAATGTGAGCTGAAATGCTGTTTTTCAGTTAGCGTAAACCTCACCGTAAGTTTGTTTAAACAGGGTTAGTAGTTTTACAGAGGAAAATACAATCCGCGCACTGCTTTTTTAGAACAGATACCAGAAAAGTACCTTTACAAGTGGAATTCTTTATCCTTCTGCTTTAGGCCATAAAAGCAGAAATGCCTGTATTTCTGAGAAAGCTATAAGCTTAAGAATTTAAAGAATTTGAAATAAACAGCAGAAAGTCAATAAAGATTTTAACTCAAGAAATTTATGAACAAATCAAAGGCCCATGTGTCAGAGAGAGATTATCCCAGTCAAAAGGAGGGGTCAAACGGGATCAGTCTGGAATTGTTACCTAGATACAAGAAGGCAAGGTTTGACACCCATTCACCCCCGCTTAAACACCATTGAGCTTTACCTAGCCTTTCCCAGGGGTAAACTACTAGTATGGGAATATTGCTATGAAAATAGGCATAGAACAATAAACTAGCAGTTTTAATTCTTCTTTTAATTCTTCACTGATGTTTAATTCTTCACTGATGTTCGCACCTAACATCAGGCAAATTTGGAAATATTAGATACAGGGGTAGTCAACCTTGGCTCTTTTATGACTCGTGGACTTCAATTCCCAGAATTCCTGAGCCAGCTTAGCTGGCTCAGGAATTCTGGGAGTTGAAGTCCACGAGTCATAAAAGAGCCAAGGTTGACTACCCCTGTTAAATTAGAACATTTGCTATAAGATTTTGGAAATAATTATATAAATAAATAGTACCTTCATGGGAGCTAAATTAGTCTATTTTAAATCGTAAGCAATTCCACACTTTTGTGATTTTGGAAACTGGACAATAGAAGGGACTAAAGATTCCAGGAAGAAAAGGAAAAAAGATAAAGGTTTACCTTTTTTTTTTTTTTTTTTGGTCAGCATTGAGACAAAATAACAGCAAATGGTGTGACATGAAACGTTTTAGGAATCTTTGAAAAATGGGCTCAAAAAATAGCAGCTACAACATCAGCAAAGTCTGCTTCTATAAATATATAATTTTTCAAATATGTTAAAGAACAAATGACAGATGGGAAAGACAATAGCCTGGAAGATCTAAAGCCTTGAAGCCTTTGAGATGGGAAAATTTAAAGAGAGATCAAATACTCCAACAATCCTACAATGAAATAAAGACTAAGGTGGTTAGAAGTGATAAGAAAGATGATTTGACTAAAATCAAATCAAAGATGATTTGACTAAAGTTAAAAAATTGTTGGAAGGGACCTTTGAGGTCTTCTAGTTCAACCCCCTGCTCAGGCAGGAAACCCTATACCATTTCAGACAAATGGCTGTCCAACCTCTTCTTAAAGACTTCCAGTGTTGGAGCATTCACAGCTTCTGGAGGCAGGTTGTTCCACTGGTTAATTGTTCTGTCAGGAAATTTCTCCTTAGTTCTAGGTTGCTTCTCTCTTTGGTTAGTCTCCATCCATTGCTTCTTGTCCTGCCTTCAGGGGCTTTGGAGAATAGCTTCACTCCCTCTTCTTTGTGGCAGCCCCTGAGATATTGGAACACTGGTATCATGTCCCCCGTCGTCCTTCTCTTCATTATTATTATTATTATTATTATTATTATTATTATTATTATTATTATTATTATTATTATTATTATTATTATTATTATTCCAATTTATATCCCGCCCTTCTCCCGAAGGACTCAGGGCGGCTCACAACATTATTAAAAACAAAGAAAGACCCACACACCCCACCGAATAAAACCAAATTAAAACCAAAATTTTTGTGTTGTGATAATTAAAATTTCTAAAAAACCCAGTTTAAAAATCCTCCCTAGGCCAGGCCCGCTTGTTGGAAAAGCCATGTCTTGAGGGCGCGGCGGAAAGTAAGGAGATCCGGAATAATCCGGATCTCGGGGGGTAGTT